GCAGATTTAAACCAAATCAGATTTTAATAGAAATTGGCACTGTGACAGAAGCTCCCATGCCATGACCTTTTGAAAAGGTTTAAAGGCCAGCCTCTTGCCTACAGACTATGGACCTGGTCCCATGAACCCCTGAAAGTGGCTTGTGATTGTAGCAAAACAAACTATTTTTTTACTTGCTAACTCTGCAGTGCCATCTGCTGGCTGAATGGAAGTGTGGGGATTTACATAATGCTGGTATCCAAATGAGAACCAAACACATGATTAAATGCATATATTGTTGCGCAAGTAGGGGCATGTCTATTAAACAGTGAGCAGCCACTGTTAAAAAACAAACAAAAAAAGTCCCCCCTCCCCCTCCTAACCTGAAGGGGGGACCTATTGCCCCCCCGGCCCCCACCCCTGAACGGCGGGTGGGGGCCCTAAAGTAAAATAATGGGGGGGACCTTTGGCCTCCCCTCAGCCCCACCCATGAGCGGCGGGTTGGGGCCCTAAATACTAATTAGTGGGGGACCTAATGTCCTCCCCCCTGGCCCGCACCCCTGAGCGGTGGGTGGGGGCCCTAAATACTAATTAGGGGGGGACCTAATGTCCTCCCCCCTGGCCCCCACCCTTGAGCAATGGGTGGGGGCCCTAAATACAAAAAATAACCCCCCCTCCCCCGAGTGACTAGGGGTGCCCAAACCCCTAGTCACCCCCCTCCCTCAAAAAATTAACCCCTACCTACCTCCCTCACCCTAAAAATAATGAAGGGGAACCATTTAACTAAGTACCTGAAAAAAAAAAAAAAAAACTTACCATTTGATGTTTTCTTTCTTCTAAAATCTTATTTTTTCAGCCCCAAAAAAGGCCAAATAAAAAGCCATAATAACGACGCACTTAAATGAAGAGACTGACAGGTAAGTCTCTACATTTACCTGTCACAGCACTCTGATTGGTTGGTTTGAAATCCACCAATCAGAGTGCTCTGTGTCATTTTACACAGCGTGGGAAAGTTCTTTGGAATTTTCCCACGCTGTGTAATTTGACTCTCTGATTGGTTACTTAATCCACTAATAAGAAGATTTTAGAAGAAAGAAAACATCAAATGGTTAGTTTTATTTTATGTTTTTTCAGGTACTTAGTTAAATGGTCCCCCCTCATTATTTTTAGGTTGAGGGGTGTAGGTAGGGGTTAATTTTTGGGGGTTAGGGGGTGACTAGGCTTTTGGGGACCCCAAATCATCCGGGGGATGGGGGGTTAATTTTTTTATTTAGGGCCCGACCCCTAATTAGTATTTGGGGCCCCCACCCACCTCTCCGGGGTGGGGGCCAGGGGGGAGGACATTAGGTCCTCCCCCTCATTCTAATTTAGGGCCCCCACCCACCGCTCAGGGGTGAGGGCCGGGGGGAGGACAATAGGTCCCCCCCAATATTTTACTTTAGGGCCCCCACCCGCTGCTCAGGGGTGGGGGCCAGGGGGAGGACAATAGGTCCCCCCCCCCCATTATTTTACTTTAGGGCCCCCACCCGCCGCTCAGGGGTGGGGGCCGGGGTGGGGCAATAGGTCCCCCCCATTATTTTACTTTAGGGCCCCCATCCACCGCTCAGGGGTGGGGGCCAGGGGGGAAATAGGCCCCCCTTTAGTTTAAAAGCCCCCACTCACGCAGGGGGGCCCATTTTTTTTATTTATTTTTTTAACAGTGAGCAATCACTGGCTGCTCACTGTTTAATAGACATGCCCCTACTCGGGGTATAGGGGCACAATTTACTAATAATAAGTCATTTTTACTTAGTATTAGTAAATTTGGCTGAAAGACCAATTTAGGTCTTTCAGCCTTTTGGTAGATAACTCCCCAATTCCCACGGTATTAGGGAGCTATCTACCAAGCGGCTGCAAGAGAAGTTACGAAATCCCGAAGTGTTGAAGTTGCTGAAGTGCCGAATTGCCGAGGTCCCGAAGTTCCGAAATGACCAAATTTCCGAAGTTCCGAAGTCCTGAATGCCGAACCGAACCGAAAATTTTTCCCATGCACATGCCTAATAAAGAATGGTATGTTAGTTCCTTTTGGAACTGCATGTCTTGTATGGGTTTTTAGGGGATCCTGGTAATAGAGTCTTCAGACCTGTTGGCTGGTTGCACGAATCCTCTAGCCTGGGACACATCAAAAAGAGAGGTATGTCTGAGAGGCACCAGTGCCTGTATAAAGGAAAGAGCAAATCACAGGCAGCGTTGTAAATACCTGCCTGGGAAAGAAGCTGAAGAGGCAAAGGCAGAGGTGGGAATACCTGCCTGGAAGAAGTGAGTTGCAGCATGGTCAAGTAGAAGATTTCAAGAGACACCCCAGTCAAGCTTCGGCGACTGGGTCTGAAGTTCTCTAGAGTCCCCTGTGACAGCAAGGAAGTGAAACTGGCGTAGGTACTCGGTCAGAGTACATGAGCTCCCTCACAGGCACTTTTATAAATTAACCTTGTTACACACCCTGGCTGTCAGACAACTGGTCCTGTTACTTCTTGGTTATTTAGCTCAGGGGTGCTAAATTCAAGAGGCAGGCAATTGCTTTGCAAAGATTTCTCATTGAGCAGCATTAGGAAGTCTATGATTGGACAGTCACATAAAGTCTGGGCTGGGTTAGAAATGGAAGGCTTGCAACAGCATCAGACAGGAGTTTGTACGAGCTGTGGTCACTATCTGCAAGGATCTATGGGATCTGACAGGTCACATTGCAGCTCTGGAACAGGACTCCTGTGACAATGCCCAACAAATTATGCTCCTACAGCTATCATTGTAAGAGATGCAGCAACAGCATACTTAATTTGAACAGCGATTTGCAGCACTTGAAGATTTGAGATGTGGCAAAAACCTCAAGATCAGGGACATCTTGGTAGACATCCCAGACGCGGAGTTGCTGCATTTCTTGCGGCTCCTCGTGGTTGCTGTGTTGTCTTTTCCATATCCCCGGGGCAGTTAAAGTTCCAGCTACTGTGCCAAGAGACTTGGTTGTTCACTTCCAGACGTGCAAGGAAAGGGCAACTGTTTTGAATGTTATCCAGGGTCACTCTCCTTACATCCTTGAGAACATGTCTCTTACCTTCTACGCAGATCAGTCCATGAGAACCCTGGCAGGGCGGAGGTCACTTCAGCCATTCACGTCTCTCCTCAACTCATATGACATCATGTATCTGTTGAATGTCCAACATGTTGCTGGTTCTCCATGGCAAATCTTCCTATCCAATTCAGAATCTTCAGGGGGCAATGGCGCTCCAAGCAATCTTGATTCTCCCATAGGACTCTCAGACAAAAGCAGGGCCACATACAGCCACCAAGTCCTCTCACTGTTGGGATCTGCCACACATTACCCCATTTATTTCTCAGGACAGTTTGGGGATCTTATTAATGCTATGATCTAATCATCCATATTCTAATGACTTAGTGTGTCAGGCTCCAGTTGAGCAGTATCAGTTGTTTAATCTTCTTTTTGAAAACCTTATATTTTATCTTTCCTCATGCAGCTATGACATGCTTCAGGCTCTCTGATGGATGGTTACCTCCATCCTCTCCATCGTAAGGAAGTATTGTAAAAGTCATGAGCTCTTCCTTAGTAAAAAAAAAAGTGGCTTATGGTGCAGGTTCCCATTTGAGCAGCACAAGTTGTTAAATGTTATTTTCAACCACTTTCTAATTTAATTTAGTTTCACTCAGCGATGGCATTCTACAAGCTTTCAAATAAATGGATACCTTCCCTGCCAGTTCAGATGTAATCTTAACATCTCTGTTGTAACCCAGTACAAATTACTTATATTACATGGTTTTATTGCCAGACGCTCAATTTATTACATGGATTACAGAGGAGGCTATTTCTGTCCTGCTAATCGTACTTTGTGATTTTATTTGGGCAGTGGAGTGTACTTTTAGGCAGGGTTTTGCAAAGCACAAATGTTTACAGAATAAGGACACAAGTTAGAGTAAGAATTTGAATGCAAAGTTTAATTACACAAAAATTTGAACAGGTGAACATGCTCTACATTTTGAAAATCATTCTAATTAGGCAATAAAGTGTAAACACACAAAACATAGTGTTCCTCACTTGATACAGTATTTTGAGTATATTATGATTGTAGCGGAGGCCTGGTATTTCACAGGTTAACTCCACTAAGATCCCAGTGAGGCTCAGGAACAAGTGATGAAAAATCCCATAAAGTAATAATTCCAGCAAGCAAGGTAATCCAAGAATATCTCCATACAGATCCCAATGACTGGATGACACACAGCATCAGGAGCAGAACTGACGTTTATTCCACACAACCTCCTTTTAAGCATTTCTCCCATGCAAGGGAGGGATTCACATTCATTAAGACAGTACCCAATGGAATAGCAGTTACCTCCCACACATCTCCACCCCTTAGTATGACACCTAATCCCATTATACAGGTTATAGTTTTCCCCAAGATCTGGATGTACCCCAAGATTAGCAGGTACACCAATACTGATCTGGGTGACCAACATATCCAAAATTCACCCAGATCAAACCAGGGGTTCGGGAGTTAGGTGGAGGGTGAAATTTGACCGACCACACACGAGGTGGTATCCGAAAAGGGTTTCATGCGTTTTGGCCCTGTGGTCGGTCTCCGTTCGGGAGGTAAAAGACACATAAAAACCTGACATCCACTAATACAGTTGCGTTCACGTGACTTACTCTAAACTCACCGAACGGGGGGCT